GTGCAGGCGCCTGGCCGCCATGGCGGCATCGCCTCAGAGGCATCGCCTCAGCGACGACACGCGAGGAAAAGAGCGAAGCGGGATTTGCCCGAAAGCTGTGGAAAAGAAAGAACCAAGGCGCGGGGCTCGCCCTCTCGGGGACCACAGGGACCGCCCGGAGAGGGGTGGCTAAACTAGTCCCCAGCCAGCAAGGCCAGGGGGCAACGGCCCTGGGCTCCAGCCCTGAAGGATGGTGGGAGGTTGGGTTTAGTCACCTCTTGGTGATTTGACCTCAGGCTTTCTAGTAGGAAAAACACCAGCTGGATTATTACTATTTTTCCCCCACAGGTGCCTGTTAATGTTCATAGTGGCCTCATGTGGGTCCACTGTAAGCACTTCCAGCCCAGCACCAAGCAAGAGGCATTTTTGCTGAAAAAAAGGACCAGTTTAGCAAAGGAAAACGCCAAAACATGAAGGCTGTGTCGCCACGCCATCACTTTACTGCGGGCAGCTTGCCCGGAGAGAGGTCTGGCCACGCTTCACTTTGTGGCTGAGGGCATCTTCTTGCCTCACGTTGTGGGGATTACAGAGCTCATTGTGTTGTTATGAGTACAGCGAACTCGGGCTTTTTTGTTGGGTTTTTTTAGGTATTTTTGCAGGTCCATCCCCCTCGCCTCCCTGAATCTTGTTTGGTGCTCAGCTGAAACTGGGAAAAAAACCCAATAAACTAACCCATGGTGTATGGAAGCTGCATCTCAGTCCCAGGTCCAACGCTCGCCCTGACGGCAGGTACCTCACAGCCACTTCCCCGACCGGGAACCCCGCAGCCCTTGTGTGTTTGCGAACAGCCTCCCTCGACTGAGGAAATATCCAGCCGTCCTTGTCAAGGACCTGGCTGTGCAGTTGCCGTGGGCACATCATGAACAGGGACATGCTTGTTCATACTGTTCAGGGCTCTTACAGCAGCTGTACGTACAGCGTAACTTTCACTTCCAGCAACTGTTAAGGGAGTAGCAGGCAAGTTTTTGTAAATCGGGTTGGAACCATTTAGGTGATCGCTGTCCCTTGCTCTCTTCTCTGCTCCTCTGCTAGAGCTGGTGGAAAGGAAGGGCAGACACTTCACTGCACCGTCCTGGGATTTAATTCAAACCCCCAGTTGCTGGCAGTTGCAGGTAGTTGCTGGACTATTGATACAGCTTAACATGCACATAATGCTCTACGTGAACAATTCTTTGCTGGGAACGATAAGCAGCGTTACCACAGTGCTGCAAGAGGCAACACACTTAAAAGGACGCAGCAATTCGAGCTAATTCCCTCTTCCCTTTGGAGGAGTTAGCAAATGATGGGTAGCAGAGGCCTCAGCTATGCCTCTGCAGGGATTTTGTTAGGGATTCTGGATAGCAGAGATGCCATGAAAACACCAAACATTCTTCTATAAAAACGGAAATACTCCAGCTAGATGCCAAAGACAATAAAATAACAGTGATTTTTAACGTTGCACAAACAAGAGAAGCAATTATTTGTAATTTACTGTTTATTTTCATATACAAAAAGATAAACTTGAAATAGTTCTTTCTAGTTTTTTTCCTCCTATCTGTTGGGGTGTAGCTGCTTCACACAGGGCAAATACTACATTCATACTGGTTTATTCGGACACCCAGTGCAAAGCTGAAGCAGCAAAACTCCAACTTGGCAGATCTAATTTCAAACTTGAGACTCATTTCTAAAATACCACAGTAAAAAGGAACAAAGATCCACTGCAAATTCATGAACTATGATACAATGTTCTTTCCAAAATGTCTTCATAACTGCAATACAATGGATGTCTGCATTAGGCCATTTTATGTATACATTTTATATATATATATACACTTTTGCAGAATATATATATATAAAATATATATATATAAAAAATCAGCACACTTCAATCCAAAAGGGGTTACAGCAACGAGCTTAACTCTCTGTATACTTTTTTCTTTAACAGGATACTTTAGTATAACTTTTGTTAACTCAGTAGTACAAGCTATCTCTGTTCTACATTTTTATAGCTACAAGAGTGAAATATAACCTACAACATTTACATTTCACATATCTTGGTATACAAACAGTACTTATTGAATTTGAGCCAAGGACCAAAAGACTCTTTAAAAATTATTTCACCATCTGATAGAGCTTCCTGTAATTTACACTCAGTTTATTCTGCAATCTTCTAAATCATTTACGTAATTTCATAGTTTGACTTTAAATCCATTCAAACTGGAAATCCTGGAGAAACAGGTTACTGCAAACTCTTATGTATACTCTATATATACAAGTTAAGTAACACAGCGTAATAAGACTTAGCTATTTATCCTAAAACTGATATACACATATTTCACTACGCTAGACAAGTCTTAGGATTTTTATTTTATTTCTTTAAATAAAGCACAAATTTAGAAGTAGCTGGTAAAACTTACAATAAGATGGTTTAAAATGACAAATGGTTAGGGTGAGATTTCTTTCTGCTGGTGCCAAAACATTTTCTTGTGAGTTTTGTACTATGCTGTGTTGTTTAACTGTATGTCTAATGTTACATGCAGAAAGCTCTTTCCACAAGAATTGACATCAAACTGTACTTAAGTCAACTTTACAGTATAAAATTTGTCAAACTTAAGGACAAATGTGAAAATATTAACAGGTGAAAGATCAGGCTTTCAACTCTATCATGAGGATCATGCAGAATTCATAAGCAGATAGTTTGAGCAGATTGACAATGGCATTGTGCGGACTTATGGCATAGAATTGAGGTTAAGAATGTTACTTAGTTTGCAGTAACCACCTCCTTCAATTCTCATCCACCAACAGATTGACTTTTGCATCACAGTTACTCCATTGGAAGGCCAGCAGCATTGCAAAATGCCTCCTTCTGGGGGATTTTAGTACTTTTGTAAATGATTTACCAAAGATAATCATAAACCATCAATAGCCATAGAAACACTTGACAGTCAAGGAAAAAACGGGGGAAGAGAAACATCTCCTTTTCTTCCTTTAGTAATAGTAAATTAATTACTAACAATTACTTACTAGTAATTAATTAATTGAGTTACTAGTAGTAGTAAATTCATTACTATTGGGATGGAAGGCTACTATTTTGTCCAAGTAAAATACAGACCGTAATGTTACGTCAGCTACATGGATACATTTTTTAAAAACAGACATTTGGGAGGGGAATGTGTACAGTAAAATATTAACGAAAAGAATGGTCTAACTTTTTGTTTTTCCCCAGAAAATATATCCGGAACAGAATTCTCTTCAGGAAAGTACCATTAAGGAGAAGTCGATGTGGTTGAAGGTCTGCTTTTATGAGAAGGTTCTTGCAAGAAGGTAGTTGGAAAAAGGAAAGGGCCAGACAGGTTCTCGGTCTTGCCAACATTTTTTGCTATCCACAAAGTTGCTGTGGTGCTAAGTCCACCTTCAGGAGCTATGAAATGCTCCGACCTCCTCCCCCTATTCCTCTGTCATGGTTGGATTTTTGGTTTGGGCTGGTTTGGGTTTTTTTTTTGGGGGGGGGGGGGTTAACAGGGGTGGCAATGCAGAGATGCCAGTGACTACTGAATTAGGATTTTAATTGACTAGGATGGGTACTGGTTAAACTCCAGTTCCTCAAAACAGTGGAAAAGTTGAATAAAGTATGGCCAATGCCTTCCTTTTCACAAAAACAGAAGCTATGAAGTCTTCCCAGAACATGCTTTAGTTTTGCAATACTAAACCTTACCGGAATGTTGTACACTGAGGTTTTTTTTGTTGTTGTTGTTTTTTCACAACTGGAAAGATTAAGAGGCCTCTCCTGCAAAATGGGCCAAAAAATGCAGAAATAGTGTTTTAATCACATCATCTGCCCCATTAAAATACTGAAATAAAAGGTTAACAAAGGAAGCACTTTTCAGAAAACACTTTCTTGATATGTATCCAGCACAATGCCATTATAGAGCTTCAGAGAAGCCCTTTTGGTTTCAATGTTGGAAAACAAAAAAGTTTTGCTTTTTTCCTTCAGTCCTTGGGGATCACTTTCCATTTACATATATATATCACATATATACGTGTATATATGTATATGATACATATATATAAACACCCATATATAGCAAGGTTCCTGTTTGTGTATGTTACAATATTGTAGTATCAAGGAGAATCCAGATAGCAACACTGTTTAACATGAGGTTTGAGGTAATTGGTTCTTGAAATACCTGGATCACAGACTGCATCCAGAAATAACAGCTGGGCAATGAAAAGTGTTTTTTCAGACAGAAAAAACTAGTAAAAGAAAAAAAAAAAAGCTTACAGCAGTTGCTTTTACATGGAAAAATAAAGGCACAACAGAACAGCATTACATTTCAGAACAGCTGGATGGACATAACACAAGTATGACCTCTTTCTGTGGAAGCGTCCTGACAAAAAGGATTACTGCTTACTCGATAGGTTAGTACTTCAGTCAGGGAACCGAGCGTCACCCTAAAACTAGAGTTTTAAAAGAGAAGTTTCATGTAAGTAAGGGACCAGGTATGTTTAGAGAGTGCTCCAGGAACACACACACACTCGTGGTCCCACAGAATTCGATGGCAAGTCTCCCCCTGGCTTCCACAGGGCCAGGACTTCACCAAGAACACAGATGTAGGACTCGGCAATGACAGGAGCCTGCTCGAAGTCGTTTAAGCGCTAATTTCAAAAGGCACACTGTCAAACCAGCTTCAAGGTAGCACAATGTATTGTTTGGTTTAAAGCTTTTTTCAGTAATTCTTACCCCACTGACACCATGCTGTTGAGGTTAAGGGAACCAAAAAAGACCAGAGTGGATTTTAGGTCCAATGGGA